TTGCCTTAGGTAAGATGGACATCTTCACAATGTTGATTCTTCCGATCCATGAGCATGGGATATTTTTCCACTTGTTTGTGTCATCTTTGATTTCTTTGAGCAGTGTTTGTAATTTTCATTGTAAAGGTCTTTCACGTCTCTGGTTAGAAAGATGCCAAGGTATTTCATTTATTTTGTGGCTATTGTGAATGGATTTGTGTTTGTTATTTGGGTTTCTGTTTGTTTATTATTGGTGTAGAGAAATGCGATTGTCTTTTGTACAATTATTTTGTATCCTGAGACTTTGCCAAAGGTCTTTATCAGTGTAAGGAGGTTTTTGACAGATTCTCTTGGGTTTTCAAGGTACACGATCATGTCATCTGCAAAGAGAGATAACTTGACTTCCTCTTTTCCTATTTGGATACCCCTGATTGCCTCCTCTTCTCTGTTTGCTCGAGCCAGGACTTCCAATACTATGTTGAACAGGAGGGGTGAGAGTGGGCATCCTTGTCTTGTTCCAGTTTTCAGGGGAAATGGTTACAATTTTTGTCCATTTAGGAGTATGCTGGCTGTGGGTTTCTCATAGATAGCTTTTACTATTTTGAGGTATGTTCCCCATATGCCTAGATGTTCGAGGGTTTTTATCAAGAAGGGGTGCTGGATTTTATCAAAAGCTTTTTCTGCACCTAATGATATAATCATGTGGTTTTTGTTTTGACATCTGTTGATGTATTTAATTACATTTATGGTTTTACGAATGTTGAACCAGCCTTGCATCCCAGGGATGAAGCCTACTTGCTCATGATGGATGATTTTTGAGATGTATTGCTGAATCCGGTTTGCTAGGATCTTGTTGAGAATTTTAGCATCTGTGTTCATCAAAGATATTGGACTGTAGTTCTCTTTCTTTGTTGGATTTTTACCTGACTTGGGTATCAATGTGATGTTGGTTTCGTAAAATGATTTGGGGAGAGTTCCATCTTTTTCAATCTATTGGAATACCTTCAGTAGGAATAGTATCAGCTCTTCCTTAAATGTCGTGTTGAATTCTGCTGGAAAGCCATCTGGACCAGGGCTTTTTTTTTGTAGGAAGTTTTCTTATTACATAGTCGATTTCCTTGATTGTTATTGGTCTATTTAGGGTCTCAATTTCTTCTTGTTCCAACCTAGGTAGGTTGTGTGATGTCAGAAAGTCCTCCATTTCCTTAAGGTTTTCAAGTTTGTTTCCATACAAGTGTACAAGTGTACATGATCTTTTGTATTTCTTCAGGGTCAGATGTGACTTCATCTTTTGTGTTTCTGATTGTGCTTATTTGGTTTTTTTCTCATTTTTTCTTGGTCAGTCTAGCTAAGGAACTATCGATCTTGTTTATCCTTTCGAAGAACCAACTTTTTGTTTCATTGATTTTTTTGTATTATCTTTTTGTCTTCTATGTCCTGGATTTGGGCTTTTATTTTGGTGATCTGGATTCTTCTGCTGAAATTAGGGTTTTTGTGGTCTTGCTTTTCCAGCTTCTTTAGGTGGCTTGTTAGGTTGTTAATTTGTGTTCCTTCTATTTTCTTCATGTGTGTTTGTAGGGATAAAAATTCCCCTCTTACTACAGCTTTCAAGGCATCCCAGAGATTTTAGTAAGATGTTTCTTCATTTTCATTATTTTCCTGGTATCTTTTGATCTGTTTTGATTTCATGGTTGACCCAGGAGTTGTTTAGCATCATGCTGTTAGTGTCCATGTCTTTGTGGGTTTTTGGGGGGACTTTGTTTGTGTCAATGTTTATTTTTATTCCACTGTGGTCCGAGAAGGTGCATGGTAGAATTTCGGTCCTTTAAAACTTGCTTATGATTGATTTATGGCAAATTATGTGGTC